AAAAAAAAAGAAAAAAAAAAAAAGAAGAAGATAAATGGCGAAGGTATCTTTCTGCCTTCTAGCTTAAGACACACTCGGCTCGTTGCACACTCCGTGTTGAGTATGGAGCGCAGCGAGGCCCACTGTTTCTGCCCGTTCCAGGTCTTTACGCCTTCTTGCTGCACTGCTCGACATTCTACTAGATAGGGTAAGCAGTGTGTGTGATCTGATTATCGTCTTCACCCGAATAGAACGCCCGACAAAAAAAAAAAAAAAAAGAAAAAAAAAAAAAAGAAAAGAAAAGAAAAGAAAAAAGAAAAAAGAAAAAAAGAACGCCCGGTAATTATCGCTGCATTTGGACCGAAAGTTGTGCCGAAAATACAGCTATAATGACCGGGCGTTCTATTCGGGTGAAGACGGTAAGCTTCCCCTCCTAACCGTGCGTGCAAGATTTTCAAGCACACGGAGCTCCATCAGTTCCCTTCCATTTTCCATAGTCCGAACCGTGGCGTACTATGGAAACTCTGACACCACACGTGGTGCCGGCACACGGAAAGAAGCAAAAGGTGAAGGCGTTCGCGAATTGCCTTGGGGGAGGCAACTTCGTTGCACTTAGACTCCACTGCTCAACATTCTACATGTATCTGGACTGAATTGGACCATGGACACTCCAACTGATTCAAAATTGTTAATGTATCCGGTCCACTACCAGGTCCAGATAGATGTTGTGCAGTGGAGCGAGGCCCTTTGACTCGTTTCTGTCCGTCGGATCGTCCGGACTACTCTTTTCCTTATCAGCTTTCCTATCGGCATTCTGGCTGCTGCTGCTGCTGCTGCTGCTGCGGCTACTGCTGCTACTGCTGCAGACTTGGAGCCTCGTTCCATCACTCACCATATGGCATATGCAGGGAAAAGAGAGAAATACATTATGGCGGTGTATCTTTCCATGTTTTCTAGCAGAAAAAATATTTTGGTGAGTGGTGGAGCGAGGCGGCGATTGGACACGTGTTTTTTTGCCCTCGTGTGGCAGCCAGTCGAGGCACGTAGTCTCCATGCAGCCCACTTTGTGTGGTGTTCTGAGCCAGGCTCATATGAATCTGAGCGCTTTCCTGGAGCAGATTCCTTCCGATCTGTTCTCGACGTGACGAGGTGAGCACTCTCTGTGGAAGGGAGATAGGTCGACGGTGGTCATGCTGCAGCGGCTGTAGGGCCACCCACTCTCGGTCCGTGATATCCTGAGCCAGCTTAGGATGAGGGCATAACTCGCACTAGCACGTACTTAAATGTATCTGACTGCAATTACCACAAAGATCTGGATGAATCTGACTGCAATCTCGTCCAGAGCTTAGTAGAAAAAGTCGGCGTGCGAGTAATGCCGTGGCTGAATCTGATGGCTGGGCGACTACTCTGGTACTCGCTGCGAGAGTCCACTCCTTCTCTGAAGTATGGTCTCCTTGAAGTCCAGTAGCAAAGAGAGGGCATTTGCGGGCGAGTATGCTGTTTCCTTTTTTTTGTTTTGTTTAATGATCAGATATGAAACTGATCAGAGCGAGTATGCTGTTTTTTACCCTCAGGGAGGCTGATATTACATTTGATCTTAGCCAAAAGGCCGAGAAAGGTATTGCGAGTCCTCTGTTTCTGTCTTGTTTTCTTTTCTTTTCTTTTCTTTTCTTTGCGGGAAGGGCTAGGGAGGGGGGGCGGGGGGGAGGGGAGCGGGGCGGAGGGTGGCAGGGGGAGTGGAGGAGGGAGGATAGGGGTGTGTCACGTGCTCTTGTTCCACTTCAGGAGAAAACTGGGTCTTACTAGTGAACAATTATCGTTGACGGCGCTTATGTACTGACTTTCGTTCTCCTCTGAATAGACAGGGCATGTCTTCTTGTTGTGTTGTTGTTTCGGAGCGTGACGGTTGTTCCCGCTTTCCGCCTATGTGGATGGTGGTGGGAAGACTTTCGCTATCGCCATCAAATGCAGATACTCCAAGATCACCGAAAGTGGCAGATGCGCCAAGATTGCCAAAAAAAAAAAGTGGCCAAATGCGCAAGATGGTAAAAAGTGGCCACATGCAGCAAGGTCGCTGAAAATGACCAAATGCATGAGAGGGTAGTTTGAAAGACAGATCACGTTCTCATGCTGAGCTTGAACAGGAAAGACAGACAGATCATGCTGAGGCCGCACAGAGATACGGTGCAGTGCGACCAGACCCTAATTTGCTGCAGCCAAAATGACGGCAGGTTATGTTCGAGCGAAGACGGTAGGACTACATAGAGAGAGATACGGTGAAGGGCAATCAGGCCCTCACCTGGTGCAGCCAAAAAAATGAGATGTGGTACAGTGCGATCAGACCCTAACATGGTGCAGCCAAAATAAGGGTGCGTTATGTTCATGGGTCCACATAGAGGGTAGTTTGAAAGATAGATCACGTTCTCATGCTGAGCTTGCACAGGAAAGGCAGACAGATCATGCTGAGCCCGCACAGATATACGGTGCAGTGCGATCGGACCAGACCCTAAGGGCGATCGGACCAGACCCTAAGGGCGTACTTGCAGTACCGTCTTCCTCCGAACACAATGGACACCTTGGTAACGAATGTATAGAAGCTATCTTTCCGGTCGGGTGCAGCCAAAATGAGGGTGCGTTTTGTTTGGGGGAAGACGGTAGGACTATTCTGAAACGCGATCTAAATTCAAATGCAGCCACAGTCCTACCTACCTTATTCGCCCGAAAACAACAACCTCGTCATTCATTATAGCTGTATTCGGTGTGCAACCTTCAGGTCAGTTACACATATAATGACGGGGCTTCGGCACTGTTTTTGGGGGCAGCAGGTAGTGTGTGAGGTGGCCGCTCACTTAAGTTGTCTCCTTGAAGAGTAATCATATACATACGGCACGGTCGATAACTACCATGTGCACACTTTTTGACAGTTTCTGACTTTAACCGCCATTATGTTATGTTTTGATGATCCGCTGGCATATGAAGGGGCTGCCTGTAATACCAAATCTTGAGATGGTGATAATACCAAATTTTGTGATGGCCTGACCGAATAAAAATCATGCAGGCCACGATGGAATTTGGTGGTGCACCTGTGACCCCCCCCGTACAGTGGCACGTGGGTCCGTGGCAGCTGTGAGCCTCCTGTACACGGGCACATGGGTAAGAGGAAGTGGGGCTTTAAACCACTAGTACACGTCCCCGGCCTTGCAGTCCGAAACTTGTCGCCGTCACAAGAAAACGAGGCCGAAATTTCAAACGCTGGGCCTGCCGTTGGTAAACACTGTTGTTCAACAATCTCAGAAGTACCCGTAAAGTATTGCATATAATAATTATTGTTGATAAAAAGAGAGAATTTTTTTATCTCTACTACAGGAACGTACATGAAACTTTTACCTCATGCGGCTCCTTAATAACTAAAAAATTGGATCGGCTGTCGTGTTTTCGTTTCGCGCTTCCAGAATTCCAGGTGTCAGGTCCGCGGCCCGGGTGCCCATGTACTGGTGCTTTAAACTACCCGTACCCGAGGGCTTGTAGCCAGTGCTGAGCCGGGCAGATTCGACCCATCCCTACGCCTACTGGGATGGGCGGCCCTGGGGAGCGGGGAACCGGGTTTTGAGCCTGTTTGGCGGGTCACGTTCTCATCTCCTTCAACAAAAAAATTGAAAATGATTATCGATCTAGAGTAGGTACTGCTGTTGTCCTTCGGGACATCCGTTACAACTGGAACGATCTAGAGAAGATTGGCATGGCCCCTGCACAACGGATGGGGGAAACGAAAGAAAAGAGAAGGTACTGCTGTGTTAGGGGAAAATGAAAAAAACAAAAGGAAGTCTCTGCCTGTCACAGCGTAAAAAACTCCAGCACAAATGCGATATATCGCCATCTCTATGTCCCGCACCTCCTGCTTAGGGGAGCCACACAACTGTAGGAAGGCCCAGTGACGTTGTGGCCTCCTCGGTGATGGCATTCTTGGCATGGACCTGGAAGGCGTTGCACATGAACTACTTGTGTAGTGGACGCCATTCTCGGTGATGGCATTCTTGGCGTGGACCTGGAGGCGTTGGCGACTATTTCGGCGTTAACCTGGAGTTGTCCGGTAGCAACCTTCAGTTTGAGGGACTAATGTGGTTATCTCCATCGATGATGAGTGAGGGTTGGTTCAATCCTGAGGACAGGCAGTGCACGCCATCTTGTGCCCTCTTCTGCTTCTGGGCTGGTTTGTTGCAATCAGAAGATGGTACTGAAACCCGAGAACAATTCCTGTTCGTGTTCTCTTCTTGCCTGGAAGGGTGTCATTGCCAGCAGAGAATGACTCATAGTGGATAAGACCATAGCATATTGGGATGCACGTGGGGGGCTCGAAACAACTCCTCTGTGCTAAGAGCAAGTTATAGAGTAGAACAAGAAGTAATCCGTGCTCTGCTGACTCAGGGTCCCTTGGCCATGACAAAGGGATACATGTTGAGTGCGTACTCGAGGTAAGTGACGCTGGACCCCGTTTCCTGCTTGACTAATAAAACGAAGGATTTTTTTTGGTTACAAAGAAAAGAAAAGAAAAGATAAGAGAGGGGACCCCTTGTAGCAATCGCGGTAGCTGGGCATCTTTGGCTGACAGGATCGTTCTCGGCGACATGCCATCTCAGGGAGACAGGGTCTACAGTGGATCAGGCACTCCTTTCTGGAGCGGCATACTCTTGCAGGTTAAACCACCACTACCTTTCCACCGGGCGACGCCGGGAATCGAAAATGTAACATTCCGAAGACTTCGGATGAACAGTGCTATCGGACCAAAGTGGATGGCAGCGCAAGCCAAAAGGAGAAAAAGTTGCCACACCCAAAGCTTGGGGTTGGGGAGAATCTGCCTCAGCAAAGAGAGGCTCGAAGGTCGTGGCGGTTTGAGTGTCGGACTCTGTGAAAGAGCTAGAACGCTCCGATTCGTGAGGCCTTAAAAGGTTTGACTACTCATAGGTAGCAGGTGTGAAAACAATCAAAACGCAAAGGATGTAATTGGGTAACGTGAAGGATGTAATTGGGTAACGCAAAGGATGTAATTGGGTCACAAATAAATCGAATTCCCTCTCGAACAGTGGCACATGGGTTAGGCAACAGGTGCGCATGGCATGCTTCCGTGTGACGAAGTCACCGTGGAGCCACTCGTGGTGCTTTTTGCTCAGAGGTTAGAGAACTGTCAATAGTCCTTGGTAATAATGCAAACTGACTTGGGGCCTGCTCTTCTGTCGTTTAGAAAGAATGCAGCTGAATGGTAGTGGTGACTATGATGAAGCCAGCAGGACAGGAAGGTCCTCCCCATAGTGGCGAAAGTGTGTCTGTTGTAGCCGACCCATAAGTTGCTGTCTGGAATTGGGAGTGGCAGATGGTGGGCTACGTCTGCAACCACATGTCATCATATACATGCAAAGAGCAGAGCGCATGAAGTTTTAATACACACACACACACACACACAGAGAGAGAGAGAGAGAGAGAGAGAGAGAGA